TAGAGTGAGCATAATTAGTTTTGTTTATGATTAGGTGTATATATTAATGTATTTACATACATTAATTAAAACAAGATTTTTAAAGCAGATTTATTAAATTATGATCATTAATTTCATTGTATTCGACTCGTATACATAATTAAATATCTTTTCTAAGAATAGTAAAATACTGTTTTCGTTTTATTGTCGCGGCCTCGTTTACAGATGGCAATATTTCTTTTTACTGGAACTAAAACGTTAACTGTTAGGTTTAAAAATTTGCATGATTTAATATCATTAACTTATAACATTTCTTATAAGGAACACATTAATTAAATTGCTCCGTTCTATAAATCTAAGTACTTTAATTACAAAAAACATTCCTGTCCATGATATAATAATTTAGTAAATGAGCAATCTTCATAACACAATCTAAGTGAAAATTATCCATTTACCGCTTTATTATACATTAAAGTATTTTGCATATACGCAAAAATACATTTAAAATCAAATGAGCTATACCATATTGTTAAAAAAATTAACAATGACAATACCGATAACCTAAACTAGTTCAAAAAATTCAGCGTAGCGCAAACAAAATAAAACCCCATCACGACACGACAAATTGATGCCATCCATCCCTCTCTGGCTAACAGTCGCAACATATCACTCGGCGCACGTCCTCGACATTTTTCCTCTATATATTATTAATACATAAGTACGATTAGATGCACTCTTCGAACGCGCAGCGTCTTACGAGTGCGTCCCTTTCTATATTGTTGGTTCTAGTTTTCCCAAGCGACCGGGCCCCGAGGGTAAAACTCCCTTGGGTCGGTATTGACTCTATGGAAGGAAAGTTATCTGTACACCTATTGTGGACCCCCACCCACCCCCTCGCGCCCGCCGTACGACTTCTTATGCGTTGCGTTTTTATTTTCGTTGAGCTTGAACGTTTTAATTCGTTTCGTTTCCGCACTTGTTGAGCTACGGTGTGCTACGATGGTTGCTATCGTAGTACAGGATGAGATTTGTAGTACTTTTATATCTTGATTGATTTTTTTTATAGGACGAGGATAACTAAGTTTAGGTCTTTTGTCCATCTCCGAATAACGAAGTTGAAAATAGATATTATTCAGTATTAGGAATGACTCACGCTACAACTTGCCGGGTCTGAGCCGGGCAACGGCCACAGCACGATCAACTTTAAATAAATTTATACTATACCTCCTGCTCGGAAAGTGATTTATGCTTGTATAAAAATGAAGCAGGAAGGACGTCATTACTGTTGTACTATTAAGAGGGCTGTAAAAATGTATGGAAATCCATTTTTAACGCGCTCAGCGGGCAGAAAAGTCTACAGAAAGTCATTGTTAACGTGCTTTGTTTTTTATTAAAGTTCCGAGTAGTGTTCATTGTGATTTTACAGAATTTGCGATCTTTATTTATAATATTATGCTATTTGCTCTCTGAACTTTAATTTTGAAGAAAGGGCTAAAAGTAAAAAGCACTTTTTATTTTATTTTGTTCTCTTATCTACTCCAGATGGCGTATATTTACTGATATGAAGATTTATTGACACCACCAGAATTAAAATAAACTACCTAATCGGTCATTGAGAACCTATTATTACTCGTGAAATCAAGAAACCAATATAAAGCTCCAAGGCACAAATTTAGTAACTTTAATAAATATTAATTTCATTTTTATTTTCTCGAAAAAAAGTGCTATTCCTAGCTTGACAACCTTGTTGGTAATTGGTCACTTTCTCCTCTCGGTGAACAATGCACTATTATATGGACACAAGCTATAACGAGCGGTAACCGAATAGACGGACAACGCACGGAAACAACATCTTAAGGCCGACGCTCGTCTCGGTTCAGATCTGATTTAGCATGAGCCATCCTTTAGTTTCTTGTAAACTTTAACTAATTTAAATTAATAAAAATGGAGAAGAAAAAGGCTGAAATGACAGACCGCTTCTTACTTTTATCTAATTTGTATTGAAAACACATCTTAGGGTTTCTAATGAGTTTTTTGATTGACTGGTTACATAAACAATAAGTCAGTTAAGTATATTTGATATTCACTATATTCCTATGATAGGTCTTTATAGTATAATCTAATTCTAGTTAATAAGTATGGCCCGCAGCTAATGCGATATAAGGCTAAGTGCACACCGGATGCTATTTCGGTAATGCGCGACAGCGACACGCGTCCGGCACGCGCAGACGCCACACGACAGATTGACGGAAAGCGATTTGTACGCTAGGCTTGTTTATCATAATAACTAATGTATGTAGACAAATAAAAATGTCATCTGCCCCTTTATGATAATTATTAGCTAATCGAACGTGGATACATCAAATTCGCCAATGCACCTAGGAAAATGTGTCACACTTATTCAATTCAGTTTGAAATGGATCATATTTCGAAAAACTTCATTTAAACTTTATCCAGAGTAAAGTATCAATTCATATAAAAATAAATGCAATTACTTATAAATATTTGATTATATTGTAGGTAAGTCCAAAGATCTAAAATGCATGAGTCAGGTCGTTCATTATTTGTTCAATGATTTTATAAATTCAAATGTCAGTTAAGGTATCTCTAATTTATTTAATTTGACAAAGTGTCCGCCTGAATATAGTTATACTTTCTTATAGTTGAAAAAAAAACTTATTAAAAAGAACTTATGATAAAAGTTTCTTAGGTTTTCGCGCACATCACTCATTAAATAAAACAAGTTTCAATGGGTTAGATGCACTGATTTTATTTATTTATTGACGTTTGGCACCCTATGCAGGAATGTGGCGTCAGAATAAATAATTCAAATCAGAATAAATAAGTTAGGAAAATAATTATTATGCAATAAATAAGCAACAAGTTTTACGGTATACTTTAATGATGAAATAAGACTTACCTTACATTTACAACATTATTAGCTTCTTGTTAATATTAAATAGTGCATACCGTAAGAAAACTTAATTCGAATTAAATACAAACCTCGTACAGTCCAATCTAGAATGACATGCTTGCTCGCACGTGCGCCGCACACGACGACAAACTGCCGCTGGCAAACGCCCATTCGTATTATTGGTTGAAATCGAGTTAGAAAAATTTGTACAGTGTGTACCCCTGCTTACAAGATTGTATTTCAATTAGGCCGAAGCGTTTTTTCTAGGTCAGGATAATAGTCAATTGGAATTGATTTTGGTGTATCTTTCTTATTATTTTTATCATAACAAAAAAATTCATCACATTAATGGCATGCGCAGACTAGGGACTTTTGTCTGTGAGAGACAAAAATCCCTCAATCGTGAAAAAAGTGTCCACCGAGAACTTGCCGTAGCAAGTGACGGACTCAACGTGCGCGATGGCCGTACATTTGTTGACCGGAAATTTTGAGAAGCACACGTTAGGAAGCACGTATTCTGAGATTACAGTGTGTTGTAATTAACCTGAAGATTAAAAAAGGGATGACGTTTTAAAAGAGAATACTGGGTCCAAAGTTCGCTGTGTACGTTGCTGCGCCTAGTCCCGTGAGTTCTATTTTTTTCGGGAGCTCTCCCGTACTTTTGTCCAGTGGTGTCCTCTTTTATACGGAGGACTGTTTTGTACGCGGTACTTTTAATTCGTCGAGTGCTTTACGTACTCGTACGATGCAGTTGAAAGCGTTCTATGATGGCGGACAAAAAATCCGCCTACATGTGCCTCGTCTGCGCAAACCATAAGTTATTGCAAATGGAAAGTAACCCACGATAGACTGGCACTAAAAATAAAACCTAACACGTAAGCAAGAGTCTACAAAGAGTAGTTTTGGGAACTACTAAAAGCTGACATCCTTATAATGTTATTGATTCCAAATATTAAGTTAGACCCATCCAACTAAAGCCAAATATAGAGTAGGTAGCTAAAATGTGAATGAGAAAGTGAGATTTATAAAAGAATAAAAAAGATGACTGTCTCATGAAGCCGCTTATTTTTAACCCTCTGCCAACCAAGCAAAAAATAAGACTAGAGCCTATTATAATATTAGTACAGTATACTTGGAAATCATTAAAATATTTATAGGATTTTTGTGATTCTATCGCATCGGTATCTTCGTCGCATTTACACTAATATGCCTATTTAATACTCACACTGACAAAACAACATGCTTACATACCTTTCTACTTTAGTTGCATACTAATGTGCCTATCACACTACTTTTCTCGCATATCCAGAATGGAACTAGCTATTAATCCAACACCCCAACTAAATCACCATAATTAATTTAAGTTTACAAAAAGAACGCCGCCCGATCCAAATTGCGCTCCTGCTATTTTGATGCTAATCTGGTAGTAACACGATCCCCATTTTTAGCTCATACAATTAGAACCAGAGATAAACCCATGCATTATCTAGTCAGGAATAACAATGGAAAATATTACCCCTGCTGTAGGACAAAAATTGTAAGTATAATATTTCAAGTGGGGCGCGAATGGGACCATGTGGGACGTCAGAATGGTTCAAAATGATGTCTTGTTTTCGATGCGAGAATGATCGATTGGTTTTATAGTTCATATGGTAGGTATTATTAGCTGAATTCGTACAACCCATTAAATAAATGATTATAAGTTTTAGTCTACTGTTAAGGTCTCTCAATCTTCAATATATCAACATTAGAAACTAACTTGGCTCAATTATGCTAGTACTAATTAATACAATAGCATTTATAAAGCGTGTTGATTATGTATGCTTTTATTAAATCATACTAGAGTAAGACAATTCTATTCGGTTTATCCGTGTACCTAATATTCGCATTCCATGGCTTATTGATGTACAACTATTAATTTTCCCTTGACAATTTATAGGTTTATCACTTTAACAGATTCGCAGTCTAAGGCTTATTTAAACCATACAATGATCAGCTGATATATCAATAAAAAGACGACTTGATCATATTTGATAAACATTTTCGCAACATTTAATAACTGAAAATTTTTAATAAAGAAAACAAGAACACTTTTAATTACGTAATTTATTATTTTATTTCGTGAGTTTTTTTTTCATGATCGATTGATTACAATGTACATTTTCTTATCAAATACACAATCGCGATAAACAATACATAACTACACGATCCATATTCAAACAAATATATCGTCTCATACAATGCTCTCATCCCCTTCAAAATCCAAGCGAAGTGATCGGGAAATTTTATTTTCGTATACTCCTTTTTTCGTATCGAAGTTAGATATTTTTTTTCACGTTGTATCCTTATTCAAGTAGAGCCTCTATTTAATAAATATAGATATGTTTTGTTACGAGATATGGTCGACATTTCAAACACATTCGACGGTGGAAACAAGCGATCACTAAGGCTTGCCAAAATTAAAAGAATGCAAGGAAATTTACACATTACAATTACAGTTTTAAGATAGGTACTTACAATAAATATATCACAGATTTTTACAAACAAACAAAATGTACAATTTACGGATTGTAAAATTAACATCGAATCAGTAAGAAAACTATATTTACAATGAAACTTATATACTATTCGCCCTGAGCGTACCTTTTCGATTTTGGTGGATATAAGATGGGCTTATTGAGTATTAATATATATATATATATATTTTTTATAAAAATCTACTACTACGCGAACCTAGCAACCAATCTTCGGAAACATTGAATTATTTAATATTTACATTCAAAATTACAAATTTTGATAGATATATTATATTTACAAATTGTCATCTACCCTTTTCCGCAACATAACTCTCACCACAAAGAAAAATATATTGTGTTGCAGGTTGCAAAAAGTTGTCACGTATTTAATGATAAGTTAATAAGACTTTATTTAGTGCATGAATTGCCATTACCATTTCTTTTTTACATTTGTGTTATTATATTAAAAAGATATCAAGCAATGTAAACATATTGAAATAACATAGTTAAAAATAATTATAGTCAACCTGTTTGTAAAAGTTTAAAAACGTCATTACCGTGTCACAAAATGTCCACTACTACCCTACGTCCAAACTGACGCATGCAGCCGTGGCTACTTGGACGCTAAAGGCGCAGTTTGCGCGTACTGCTGAGCACTGCAAGTTGGCAATGAGAAAGGATTCACTGAGAACGGTGATGACACTAGCCCTGTCATTCCTGTGGACAATGTCGTAAAATAAGTAGGTATAAAGTGGGATATCATCTACATGTTATGTATTAATTCTGTATGTTAATTTTATTTTAATAGTTTGTTTTTGTAGGTGTGCAATAGTGTGGTAGTGTTATTAGACAAAACAAAAGAAAGCGGCGAAGCAAATTTAAAAAAAATATATCATATTTGATTGCTAAATAGGAAAAAACGAACGAAACAATAGAATTAAAAAAAGGATTTAACAAAACACTTTTGAGCTGGTTATAAAGCGTATTTAATAAAGTTCTATAATAATTTATTAATCTTAACATTTCATTTAAAGTTTTAAAGCAATTAACGCCTCATAAACCTTCAAAAAGCGTTTTATTATAAAACATTACAGTGCGCAAAATTTTAAAAGAAAGGAAATTAAAAAAATAATGAAGAAGGTAAACAGAAATGAAGCTACTAACACTGTACGGCGAGATGCTGCCAATTCTGGTGGTGTTGTACGTTCGGCCGAGGCGGACTGTGCCTCACTATGGCAAAGGCGCTTCTCAGCTTACTCTCTTTACTCTGAGGCCCTTTCATATCGTTGCCGCTGCATTTTGTATGAGTGTTTGCCGGACAGTCGGAGCTCTTAGAATTCCCGTTTCTTTCACTGTAATGTCCGCTATCTTTCGTGTTATACGCGTTATACTGATGGTCAGAAGATAAATGTCCATTCATGTTCGCAGGATGGTACGGGCCAAGGGACACTGTGTGGACCGAACAAAAAAACTGGGGTTAACACAAAGCAGAGTAAACGAACAGCGTGCTGTGAAAGCGTTGGAAATGTGATATCTCATTTATGTTCTAGTGTTAGTAAGCAGTGTGTTGTGTATTAAACAAATGTATTTTAAATAATATTTATAGTTAGGGCATCATGTTTATAAAACGGTCAGTTTCTCGAAGAGGTGTATTCTGTGGACATAGAATACGCCAGCTAATAACTTTCTCGTGCTTAAAGTAAGTCTTTCGGGGGATAGGGTACTAATTTAATGTATTTATTCAGTGGGTTGGAGACCTGTAATTTTTATTTTCGGAAACTTAGACCTAACCAATTTTAAATACACTAGTTGTAATGAGAATGATGTCTCCTTTACACGCCGACAGATTCGTCCGCGGACGTCGATAAATGCATCAGCAGATGGATTAACACGAGCTGACCACGCGTCTGATGACGTCTGTAGATCATTCAGTCTTAATTTTTAATTCTTTGTCTTAATAGTTTAATTCTCGACAGACACAACTTGCAGCTATTAATTTATTTAGTAGGTACTTTTAAATACTACTTGTGGTGCATCGCAGCAGAGTTATTAAAAAGAGGAAAAGAAAGTGGTGGATGGCTATTTTTCGGGTTTCACAGTTTCCTGTTTGAATATAATTCAAATGTTTAGTCAGTGCTCATATAAGCTAATTTAGCGAACGAGAGTAAGAAACGAACAAAAAAATTCAAGCACGCGTGCACTCTCATTCCTAACTCCGATACTACTGATGGGTCGTGAGACGTGTGGACAGGCGCCGGGCGTCCACGCTTAAAACCCTCTGTTTGGTGCTAGAAAAACCAACAGCAAACGGATTGGTGGCAAAGGCATCTGCCGACGTGCACCAGACGCGAGCAAACTACCACGTCTACACGTCAGAGGATGCATCCGATGATGGCATCTGCAGATGAATCTGTCAACGTGTAGATGAGGCATAAGGTACACCAAAGGTCGCCTTACTGGTTTAAATTATTTATAATACTATTTATGTAAATCCTATTAAACATAGCATGGAGTGTGTCAGCGTTTAACTAAACACTTAGAAACACCTAAGTAACCTCATTGAACCTCACAGTCAGACCGACCCGCTGATATACGCTTACTGGTCTGTCATAAAGTTCATTTTAATCACACCAGATAGTGTTTGCACAGCGAGGTAGTGCTGCGGATGTAGAGCCAGGTTGTGGAGCAGCGTGATGTTAGTGAAACCGGCCCACTGCTATACTTACTCGCGTACTTTGTGTAGAAGGGGTCATTGGACTCACACGAGGTAGTATTAAACAGCGATGTAGGTGGTGCGGGGTAAAAATGTGAATGCGGTGTGTACCAGCATCGCGGCTACATCAACCTGAACTTTTCTCTGGGAGAATGACTCTTTGACTTACTCTAGGTAGTGTTGCACAGTGGTGTGGATGACGCTGGGTTGTGCTGCGAGAAAGGCACTACTGCATTCTCACCCACCCACTGCTACGTACCTACTGTTCTAGGATAAAAGGGTTATTAAACTCACGTGAGGCAGTATTAAACAGCGATGCAAACGCCAGCACTGCGGCGACATCAACCTGAACTTTTCGAGTACTGTTCTACGAGTGAGGTGTCATTGCACTTAGCGAAGAAGTGTTGAGCAGTGAGGTGGCGAAACGGAGCACTGGTTTAGTAGGATGGACCAGCCGCCCGCTACGCTTGTATTGGTACCTGACAGAGGGGTCATTGCACTCACGCGAGGTTATGTTGACAGTACTGCAGTCGCACCGACAAGCTGCGACGCACGTACTGTTCTATGGTAGAGGGGTCATTGAACTCACGCGAGGTAGTATTAAACAGCGAGGTAGGCGGTACGGGGTAGTATTGCGGGTGCGGGTAGGAGCCGGGCGCGGCATGCGGAATGGAGGCTGAGGAGCAGTACCGCGGGGACATGGACCTACTACTACGCGAGTACTGTTCTACCAGTGAGGTGTCATTGCACTTAGCGAAGAAGTGTTGAGCAGTGAAGTGGCGAAGCAGAGCACCGGTCTAGTAGGATTGACCCGCCGCCTGCTACACTTGTATTGGTACCTGACAGAGGGGTCAATGCACTCACGCGAGGTTATGTTGACAGTACTACAGTCGCACCGACAAGCTGCGACGCACATGCTGTTCTATGGTAGAGGGGTCATTGAACTCACGCGAGGTAGTATTAAACAGCGAGGTAGGCGGTGCAGGGTAGTGCTGCGGGTGCGGGTAGGAGGCGGGCGCGGCGTGCGGCGTGGAGGCGGCGGAGCAGTACCGCGGCGACACCGACCCGCCGCTACGCGCGTACTCCTCTAAAAGAAAAAGCCTGGGGTCAACACGAAACTAGCGTTAGGACTTTGAAGTGTTTTAATCATTTAAACTTATGTAAATATTTATTTAGGAGAACAGGTAGCGTCAGTATAATTTTCTAAATTACTTCTACCCAAAACTGCTGTTAAATTGGAGATCAGATGCCAAAACAGTTGATTCAAAGCCCTACTCTCTAAAATCCTTTTCATTTCAAAACAACACTGAAGTTATATTATTTTTTCATAAATAGTAACAGTTTATATGCAGTGAGTGAGGTAAACAGAAATTAGTAGGGAAAAGAGTGGTTAGTGTGGTAGATACTGAAGTGTATGAATGTATCTCTGAAGTTTATTTTTGAAAATGGTTTGGCAATATCAAATATAGACTCCCCTCACACTTGACCTGATGGAGAATTGATCTTATCAGGAGGATTTGTTAGTCTTTCGTAAAAGAAAGGTCGACAACGAAAGACTAAACCTAGAGTATTTTGGGTATTAAACAAGACACTTGAACAAAAAATTTTGCTCGTATAATTGTTTTTTTATTATTATTCATTATGTTGACGATTACGGTAGTGTCATTACCGTGTCACTAAACTATTTATATTTATTCCATTAATGTTTACAAATGTCTCATATAATAAAAATGGTCTTGTTAGGGCATTATTTCAGACCAATATGTTATTTGCATTGCAGGAATAACGATATCTACCAACCTTCAGTCCACTGCGAGGCAGCGGTGTCTTGCACGCTGACGGCCAGTTGTCCCGTGTAAGAGTTGAAGGGCATACTGGCTGGCGGGGACCGGGGAGCGCTCAACCCAAGCTGGTTGTTTCTGGGCATCGAGTACAGGGCTTCCGCTAAATCCGCTGCCCGTTTGAGTATGATTTCCTGTTGTAGAAATTGATAGTAATGATCTTTCTTTTTCTCTTCCACATCTACAAAACACTGATAACTTATTCTTCTAAATAAAACAAGTTTGGGTTAGATGCACCGTTTTCTATTTTTTTTATTGACGTTTCCGGTAGTGAGGGTCTAATAAATAAACTCAAAATTATAAAAAAGTAATACATTACTTTATTAATTAAATCAGTTCAGAAATTCAAGCATAGACAATAATGTTTTAAAAATCTTCCGATGAAATATCCGAACGCTCAATAAAAGTCTTTCGAAAGTAGAAAAAGTAAATAAAAAATCATTATTCTGACGACGCATTCCTGCAAAGGATGCGAAACGTCTATAAAAAGATAAAATCAGTGCATCTAACCCGTTGGAAATTATTATATTTAATGAGTGATGTACGTGAAAACCTAAGAAACAAATATTATTCTTCTAACATAATTTTATATGAGAACGGTAAATAGATTGTAGAAAACTGGTGCCTGAACAAGGCAGAAAGCCTTAACTCAGAGTACCAGCACTCTTCTCCCTGGGGAACGAACAGTGAGCAAATCAAAAGGTCAATAAAATTGGGGTTTTAACACAGGTTTTTTCAATAATACGTTAGAATAAGAAGTATACACGATAAGACATTACTCTTATAAGAAAACGCATTAGAGTTTTTGCAAAATCATAACTATTTAAGTTATAAATTAGTTATAAAATATAAATCAGAACCTATTTCAAAGGCGAGTTTTAGTACTCAAAATCGAATTTAAACAAAAATTCATATATAAAGTAATATTCATACCTTTGGTAATTTTTCAGGATCGCCAGGATGCCTCGGGATGAGTTTCTGCAACCTTTGGAAGCCGTAATCTATCGTGGGTTCGTTGAGAGCTGCTATGCGAACACACAAACATGCGAATAATTAATATTTTAAACTAGAGAACATTTAAATGAAACTTTTGAAAGGGTATATAAAAAGATTAACAATGTTTTGTTGATAGTTTTTTAGTGAATTTAAGTGAATGCTAAATTGAGTTTGTTTGTTATGCTGTCACCTCTAAACAGAGAATCGATCATAAGAAATTTTGACATGGGCATAGATAAGAACTTGGAGACGGCTTTAGGCTACTTTTTTGTGAATATAATATATAATTTGATGTGATAGTGAATATAATATTATAATGTGAAATAGTAATTAAAATTTTGTATGGGAATCCAATTTTTCCAAGCAGACGAAGTCGCGGACACTCGCTAGCTATTTGTTAATAAATCGTCTTTATAACCAAATCTCAAACAGTCTCCAAGATGCGTTCATACAAAAAGAAACACAAACAAAATCAATCATTATCTGGCACTAACGAATGGTAAGCTAATTGATGGATCGTCCAAGACATCCGAGCCTATCACAGTTCCCAAATTAAGGCTCAGCTAACAAACAAAAAACTCGCCACATTTTCCTGCTATGTAAGTATTATAATGATTTTTCCCGTAACAGATCTATCTATTTTTAAGCAGCTCTTTATTGGTAGATATGAGAATGCGATACCAATTTTGATGTAGATTTTTTTTTAATTTTAGCTTTTATCTCGTCATCAACTTTAGGCTTATACCTACATGTGACCTGCCCTAGCTTATCTTCGGGAAAAGTATTAGATACTTCTTCTCTGTGTGAAATGCATAAAAAACCGCTTGGTACTTTTTGAGGTCATCGGGTGACTTTGTTTTATAAAGAACCTGGAGCTCTACTCTCTTTCTCCGAAACGAAATTTCGGTAACGAACGAATTTCAAACGAAATTTCGCCAGTGTCTCTACTCTATTTCATTTTCGAACAGGCACATTAACTTCGGAACCATAAACAGTTTTCGTGAACGAATGGAATGAGTCATGTTTGTGAGTTCTTTTTATCTCTACTTTTAAGAAAACGTTTTTTTTTACTTGGAAATAATATAGGTAGTTTACGGCAAATTTTTTGATGACATTAAAAGAACCTTCTTTGACAGTGTTAGCCGACTAATTTGTAGAGTCGATACAATCTACTGTATGTCAACCTCAATTTGTCGTTTAATACTTTGAAGTATCGAAATTACAAAAAATAATAAAAAAATGGTTTATTTGTTAATTTTACATGCTAAAAATGTTACTCGAGCTAAGCAGCTATTATTAAAAATACTGTTGCAAGTATTTTAGGCTTAATTAAAACAAAAATCTCAGAACGAAATTGAAAAGGTAACACTTTTCATTTCGTCGATTTGAGGTTAAAATTTCGAACAATTATCTGTCAAATTCAACTTTTCCTTCGAAAGTTTTGTGAATTAGAGTAGGCTTGGAGAATTTAATTGTCAAAATATTTCGGACGAACGAATTTTCGAAATGAAAAGGAAACAGAGTAGGGAACGTGCGAAATTTCGATCGAAATTTCGTTTTTCGTTGAAATAGAGTAGGCCTCCTGTAGTGATTTATAGACAGTCACTAATTTATTTTATACCTTAAGTTCTGTCAAAAGAAATAAAGGAAGGTGCGATTTTATGTATGTCATTACCATCACTTTACTATTATCCTCACTGCTAGCGTACAGGCCATCTTTAAGAACTAAATAGGGAGAACAGGCCTTACAGTTCAATCCGCTGTGAACGAATGGGTTCACAGCGGATTGGACCCATACCCCCTTATTAAAAAAATAAAAATATTGTTACTTCGTGTTTTGTTCATATCACTCAAATGTCATTTGTCATTCAATAGACAGAAACAAAACATGGAGTAACTAATCCAAGCTTTTTCTTCGTTTATTAATAAGAAGTAAGTGCAAAGGCGCAGGTTAACGACCGGTTTTTCCGGGGTCTAGGCACCGTGTCTACCCCGGCCGGTGGCGGCTAAGTTTGTTTCCGAGTACGGTTTGTACGTTTGTTAAAAACGCACCTCTGTCGTTAACAAACCTCCATAGTGTCCTATACCTAACTGAAGACAACACATAGATACGGTTTAAAGGATACCTACACCCGGATAGAAATTGTCTCGTTATAAAGCGCCCTAAGGCGCCATCCCACCATCACTATGCCAGCCTGAACTCAAACAACTACTCCGTAGAGTCATGGAACCTTACAGAGAAACAACGCTACCAAAACTTAGTGTTATTACACTATCATCTTCTGCAAGATGATACTTACTTCCTAGGACAATTGCTTCAGTTCGAACAGAAAATATTCCATGCCCTACCTCTTCTTATTACTAATAGAACAGCTAGTTGAAAAGATCACTCACAAACATATACAAATCTGCCGGGTGCTCCTTTACAGAACTGTTTGCTCTTGTATGAGAGCGTCACTTCCACCACCCCTGGTATGTGCCGTGGTGGTGTCTGCACTCTTATCGCATGTGATGTGATGAGCTGCAGATAAAAAGGTAATTTAAGATTATGATCATAAGGTCTATCTTATAATAAGCCAGTTGGACTGAGGGTAAGAGAAGAAATGGGCGAAATTAAGGAAGATGGTTTGGTGACCAAGTTCTGTAACGCTTTAAGGGTCATCTACATTCAACAGCTTTCTTCGGCTATGGTGGGCTGGGAATCGATCACTATTGTGTCCACGCAATATCTTATGCTTTATTATAAAAAAATGTTATAGCCCCACAAAGGATGTAGGATGTATGTGTATTGACTATTAAAAGGGATGCCGTAAGCGATATTAAGATTGCTTTGTCATCATCAGCCGGTTGACGTTCACTGCTGGACATGGGCTTTCCGCATCCAGTGGGTCCCCGCCGCCTCGGTCTGTCTTGATGTCACTCGCTTGATATTATCAAGCCACCTGATGAGGGATGGTTCCTTCTCTGCTTAACTAACTTTTTATGAAGTATAGGATAAAAAACTATATTCTCACCTCGCTCCAGACCAGCATTGTTCCGAACACAACTTGGAGTCCGTCGAAGAAGTTGTCCCCGACTATAATGACTGTGGAGCCTCCCGATGTCCATCCTTCACTCGGGGATATCGCTTTGATGCAAGGCGTCGCCACTGGCAACGGCGGATAGAGACCAGCTGCGTTAGATAAGTAAACTATTTTAAATAAATAAAAATTTCCCATATTCCATGCTAAGGCATCGAAATCAAAAAAATGAACACTAATTAGACCCTCTGTTATTATTTCCGCGCAAATGGTAGTGGTAGTTTATCAATTGACAGAATAATTTCGGCAAATGCTGTAGCGCGATGAATCAGTAACCTGTAACTATTGTTTTCACATAGTAACGGGTACCTAATTAAAATAGCCTCGTTGAAATATAGCTATGGGAGTAAAATTAAATATTTAATTCTGGATAACGCACAATCTATAACGCTCTTTCAACTCTAACAATTCATTAAGTTATGTTGTTATTAGCGATTTTAGTCTCCTGATTTATACGATCAAATCTTTTAAGTCTGTTTATATTATACCTATACTAGCAAAACTAACATTGACAATAGAACTTAAATAACATGTTAAACATCTTATTTTAGGAACTGGCTTTTATTCTCTTAATTGTACGTCGTTAATTAGTTTCACACAAAAAGTAAAATTGCAATACGAATAATATAGAATACCTTAGCAATAAAACACCTAAATACTTTTAACACTCTAAACTAAGTAACTTAACCTGTAGTAGTTACCACCGCGAGGTATAAATAGTATCCATGGCTATAAATGGCGATGCTCCAGAAAAGAAAAGTCCCTCGCCCCGCAAGAGTCCGAATTGTATGCTCGACAACTTAAAAGTTGAATAAACGCCAAACTACTAAAAGTCGTTCCGTCCTATTCGGGCGTTTATCTTTGACTGCTCCAGAAAAAGGACAATTGCACACCAACCATCGGCGGAACAAGGTGTGAACTGGTCTGTCGGCGTTAATTGAAAATGAATTTTGATGTCAATGCATAAAGTTGAAGTCGCGACGGGATTTTACGGTTGTTATGACGTTGTTAAACGCCAGCTGGATGCAAGAAGGTTCTAGTTAGGGGGACACGCGTCGTGAGACAGGGGGAGCTGAAATCTCGCTAACAAAACGGCTCTGTAATAAAGACGAGAACAGAAAGTGAATTTAAGGGGACGAAAGGAGATTACGTTCGAGGTTCTTTTTTAATTTGACTAATATAATATTAATTTCGCCGTACTTATTCCCTTCAATACAGGACTGGTACCAACGCAGACATAATGAAATAATTAAACAAAATCCACCCGTAGGTAAGTCAGTACATACATCAAATCATCGTCAGTACATATATCGCGTACACTTAATGAAACATAGAAGTACAAGTCATATTTTTTTATAAAAATAAATCTGAGGATACGTTACAGCAAATTTGGTTCAAATACAAATAAGAATGAAACAGTTAATTAGTTTGGGGAACCGAAATTATCCGTAACAATGTAACAGTAGCGGTGCGAAAACGTAAGTAGCTGTCGGGGGGAGGCCTGGGTGAATTCAGCCATTCACACCGTGTAATCCGGCGAGCCGCTTTCACGCGCCGAACTTTACAGGCTTATTTAATGTGGCAAAGGGCTTTATTCTAACTGCTCGAATAATATCATTGAATTTATTCTAAAAAGTTTTGTCGTATTCCTTCAATATATATACTATTCAATATATACTTTCAATAGATACTGGCACGGGTACGGGATATGCATATATTTTTAATACTTTATATATTCACATATTATTTTATGCCTTTATGTTTATTCGTCTGTCTCACGACGAGTGCAATAAAAATACACAATGCAAAACCGAGGCAATTCAAAATTTTTATATTATATTCGATTTCTTTCTTATTAATTATTATTAGTTACTTATATTTTATGAACAAAACGTGTTTAATTATAACAGTATTATTATATTATCCCATCGATTTAAAATGAAGTTTCTGAAAGCAGAGGCGTTACCCCATCAGTTAATTTTTACTAATGCTTCATTGCAAAATTGGCAAAACTACAATCTCTGAACATAAAGAAGTGTAATAACAATAAAGGAGGTTTTGATATCATCACATTATTAAAATATACGATCTGTAACATGGAGTCGGAAACTTTTTGCAAAAAGCATAATTCCTCACTATATTACCCCGCGTCGCTTCATGCCCGCATGCCCGCTTCAACACCCCCCGACTCACCCCACGAACTTCTTTGCGAAATGTCTACAGTGATTCCTTGCATACAAACGACGACTTCTGATGTTATATTATGAGTTTTGCGCATTTGTCCTCGATTGACTGCCTTGTGTATAACGTGCAGTTTGGCAAGTTTTTTTTCGTTTGTTTGACAAGGAGTATTTTCAAGTAAAACATGTATTGTGCAATGATGTTTCTAAGTTAAACAAACCAAAATTAAACGGATGACCTAATGAATAATAAATTAATGTAATACCCTTGACTTAATGTCATGTCCACAAATTTATTTTATTTTACTATCCCACTACGAGGAAACGACGAAATAGCACGTCTCGGTCGTGTAAAATACTTAAATAGATAAAAGTTCGTATTCAGAGATATAAGTTAAAATTAATGCTTGTTGCAAAGTTATAGTATCACTTTTAATCAAGCTAGCTGAACACTTAACTGACCTCTATAGAAATATAATTTAAAGTAGAGCTTTGGCCGCACTGAGAAACATCAATCAAATCTATGTAATATATGATAAGTTGTCTTATTCTGTCGCAATAAAACAACTAGGTCTCTGACATTCAGACCCCTAGCGAATACCTCCATATACACTCATCAAAAGAGTTTAAGCAACATGCATAATTTTTTATTATCGTTAAGAAATGAATTCTGAATTTAAAAGATTTTTTTGCTTTAGTCACAAATAAATCAAATTGGTTAGTATAAAAAAAAAGGTTTTAAGTATAAAAAAAATAAAATCGGTAAATAGTTCAAATTAATTCATGGTGTTATGATCCTTTTCATGACTATAGTTTGATGAAGTACGACAGAAAGCTTTTTTTTCTCGCAAATACGGCTCAAGTTTATGACTCCACTTGGTTTTCTCTTATCATTTGTAGCAGGATGGCAGCGTTAGACACATGTTAGTTTGTGAACGCATTATACAGTTGTCGAAATAATCACTCTTTCCATTCCGAAATTTTCCGCAAAAAGTATGAAATACAAAAAAAAAACTACCAGAGACTAGAGAAAATATCAGGGACTAGCAAAAAACAAGGTTCATGGTAACAATCCCGTTAAAACACACAAACAAAATGAGTTTAATCTTAGTGTCCAACGTCCATGAAAGTTAAGAAAACAATATAAAATAAAATAAAACAAAAAACGTACAAGTGGTCTCTGGCGCCGCGTCAATACCTTCAGTCGGGTCGAGGCGTTTGGCCCGCCGGCCGTGCTTGCTGTTGTTGTGCACGAACATGTTGTCAGATATAGCTAGTAGGGGACCGTCCACCATCACCTGTGTCGATATCACCACCTGTAACAAATGCTGTGATAAAGAAGGTGTTTTCAAAAACACCGGAGGGGCCACAGAGTACTTCGTTTCCGCAGTTTCAACCCGTACTCCCGACATGCATTGCGGGGACCTTGGTCCTCAGAATGCATTTCAAGTGACAAGTGCAGGAGTATTTTCTGGTTTGCCTTTTACAGAAATAAAAAAGGAGTTGTCAAGAAAAAAATCTCTAATTATTCGTATGACTAGACTTGAATCACGTCATTGTTGGCCTCTACGGCCCGTATTAATAGAACACTCTAAACTCTGTGAGCGATCTTGAAATGCTGTTTGTATGAAAACAGCATATCAAGATCTCGCTGTTTTAGTTGATGTACGTTAGGTTCATTGATAGTTCTATTAATACAGGCCTAAGGTTTCCACACAGCTTTGCGGGCCTGTACCCGATTCTTCTGCGGTGCCTCTTACTCATGGAAAACCTCTGGCGAAGTGCCCTGAAATAATAGAAATTTACTGGGGCTTTTATCCATAAATGTTCCAAAATCATCCAACAAATTTGAGAATATCTTTAATATTTGCGATACAGTCAGTAAATTACTGGATAATTTTAATTTACCCAGTATCGGTCAGCACATCACTAAACACGGCAATATAAATAATGGAATTATACAAAGTCCAAACTTAACATAGTTATTTATTAATTATACTAATAATGTAAAAGCCTAAAGAGAATAAATACATTTTGAATTTTAATAAATGACCTCGCAAGTGCGAGTTAAAAGTGAACATGTCACGTTTGAATATAAACAAATCACAAAAAATCGAAACAAAACAGCGTAAGTTCAAGATCACGGTACATTCGTCGGCGAAAATAAAACCCTTCAGCGAGGTCCAACCGAGTACGCACTCACGCACACACACATCCACCAGAAAGGGAGAGTCCTCGGGGAGGTGGGGCCAGTGCCTCGATACGTACAAACTCCAATAGGAAGTGCATTGTATGCATATGCCGAGGCGTGGGTGGCCGAATGCTTTTCTATTGATACGAGATACAAACTTTTTCCCTGGGCATACCGTTTACAAGCGTTGTGATCCGTGACATGCGAGATTGCATGTGAGTGACGCATGAAAATGTTTGTTTATGCAAACCTATTTATTTAAGCGAAGATTTATCTCTCATCTACACTCGGTTGAATTCGACGACAGTGTTTTGTCATTGATTATTATTGATGCTCACGTGTTAAGCGTTTAACACGTGAGCATCAATAAGAATGTAATAAAAACTTAACTGGGTTTCACACAACGTCCATTATGCCAAATGACGTATGTTTTTGGATGTTAATTGTCAATGATTTCTAATATTAACAATGCAAAATAAATCATTTATTAAGTATTAATGCCTCAGCTGCTTAATCAACTTTGATGTGTTTTGGTACAAACATAAAGGGACTACAGGAAAGGGTATAGACTACTACTAAATTAAAGTTTATAGTGTTCAGAGGATAGAGGAAAAATATCTATGGAAAAGTCGCTAATCATTATATGTAAACAAATTCGCAAGTATCAACTGGTAGATAAAAAAGTATAACATACATAAATCAACAAAATAGCGCGCATCGAAATTTAACTCTAGGTGGAGTAGAAACATAACACCCGAAAATGCGAAACTTTAAATGTGCACACTAAAATGCATTCACGAATAGCGTTCAATATATTATTCAGACCGATAAAGAGACTGCATTATTTCGATTCCGAGAGCCATAAATATGTACATAGATAGATATATATTATACCCATATATTCTTACCCTTGAAACGGTGGGGAACGACCACTGAATTATTCAATGACACACAGAAAGCCCAAATATAGACATAACTACGCACACAAACTTAGATATCGCTAGTGGTACTAATGTACACAGAAATGTATTCTAATGTGTGAGAGGTAAGTTTCATGTTTGCTCAAAGTTTGGCAAAGGACACGTAAGACAAATATGTCTTAGCCAGCGGGGGAAGCAAATTTGTACTCATAAGTAGACTGAATGCACCTTCACATTTCATGACAGGGTTGTCCTTAATTAGTTTGCTATTGAAAAATGGGACTTGGTGAACTCTTAACTATAAGTAAGTGTTATGAAATAATTTGGAACATTAGGACTTATGTTTAACTAGCTGTGCCCCGCGGTGTTATCCGCGGTTTATTAGGGATATTTTCCCGCAGTAAAACGTAGCCTATGTTAATCTAGGGTGTCAGCTAACGCCATACCAAATTTTATTAAGATCGCTCCAGCCGTTAGGACGTGAAGGAGTAACAAACATACACACTCACACACACACAAACTTTCGCCTTTATAATATTAGTGTGATTATGGGGATCAAAAGTTTGCACTACATTCCAGACTTACTAATAAAAAAGTCAAGTCGAACAGATTCGGAAATATAAATTTTTAAAATAATTTATTGTTTCGTTGCTTTGTTACAAAAGTTTTACATTTTGGAGTTCTATCTAAGTATGTCTGCCTACAACTGAAAATAAAACTAATTGACTAGCACGCTCATTGATACAAAATACTATTTTTAACAAACATACGTGAGGAAATTCATGGAAACCGAATATAAATACATAAATGCAATATATAGTTACTAAATTAGCAGAATCGTAAACTATTGAAACACTTTATTCTGAAGTAAAAAAGTGGACGGATATCGTTGAAATGTAAGTAAATAAAGAGGAATAAATAAATTTAATTTCATCCCTCCGTAAATTGGAGCCGCTTCAAATATTCAGCAGTCGTGAACGCAACCCTTCCTACAGTTAAGGGCGATACACCAGTTTTGGGGTCTAAGCAATAGACATGCACATTAAGCCTCCAAAGAAGAAAAGGGAAAGATTAAAATTTTCCCCTTTAAGCTGGTTATACTTATCTTCATAAAGAAAAGAAAAAAATACCCAAAATTATGTTACACTACTTCGTTTCCAGATAGTAAATAAAATTTAAGTTTTTCTACAAAAGAGAAAGCTTCGTTTTCATTCATTAGGACCACTCAGTTGTTTCAAGTGTATGAATTAAACAACTATCCCACTAATATTATACTTATGTGTGAAAGTTTGTTTGTTTGTGCTTTTGTGTGTTTGTTACTCAATCACGCAAAAACTACTGAACGGATTTGTATAGAATTTGGTACGCATAATCGTTTATTAACTCGATTGAGACGTAGGTTATTAGTAGTAGGAATAGTACTTTATTCCGGAAAAATGTTAGATTCCTGTGGGATTCTGAAAAACTCAAAGTTAACGCGAACGAAGTCGGGGTGGCCGCTAGTACTGAATAAATATAAAAAATGAAAAGTTACTTGAACTGTTTTTTTTTTCAGAGTACAGATAATAGCAATGGAATCAAATAGAGCCATATCATGACGCCAAAGGGTGGCTTTAACCTTTATTTCAACCCGCCATACCTTATCACGTAGACCGCAGACTAAGAGCAATACAAGCAGAGTATAGAGCGGGGCAATTTTTCCGCGCGTCTGGTAAACAAGATACCATTTACCTGTCGACAGCCAGCGAACGCGTAGTAAGTACCTAGTAGTCACGAAACTTGTGACTTCGATGTTTTGTTAACTCCTATTACTTTATAAACTACATCAATATTATTATGTTTTTATTTATTTTTTAAGCATTTAACTGCTAGATGTTTAAATCTAAAGAAAAGTTAACTAGAAAAAAATCCACGCGGACCAGGCAGCAGACGGGACTCGAACCCGCACCCTTCGCAATCCGGGCGAATGCACTGACCAATTATGCTACCACGGCCCTGATGGCCGCGTCGAAATTTTCCTAGCCTTAAGCTGCAAGGCAGCGCCATCTCTTCGCATTGTAAAAAATAAATAAAAACATAACAATAATTGCTATTTCTTCTTTCAAATGTTTAATACTTGAAAAGGTATTCATTTGACATTGTGGGTTACCTACAATGCGAAGAGATGGCGTGTTTGTTGTGTTAGTCTATTATTGTTGTTTTGTCTCAAATAAAAATATTTTTCTTTCTTTCTTTTTGCAGTTAATTTCACTTTTTGATATCCCAACTATGATATGAAGTTCATATCATAGGTGGGATATCAAAAAGTGAAATTAAGTTCATATTATGAACTACACGTTGCATTACTATCTTTTTATAATTCGAATCGTCCTCAAAGATTTAATTCAATATGATAAATTAGTCAAAATATTTACTAGAAAATGAGAGTTGTTATCTTGAGATGATCGCTTGAAAATATATTTACTAACTCCTATAAGATTTTAGCTTGAGCTTAATGTATAATTATTTCCAATTAGTTTGCTACTACTTGTAAGATTATAAGCAAAATATAGCTTAAAGTGATGAATGTTAAAAATGTAATGACGTCTTTTCCAGTTCCTTAAGAAATATTATAATAAATATCATCATACTTACTTGAAACCTTCTCATGTCACGCGGGTTGCCGGCGTTTTTGAGGCAGTTCTGATTGCACTTCAGGAAAAACTTCAGAAAAAATCTGTAACAAAGGAATTAATAAAATATATTAAAAGTTTAAATTAAAATATTCATATACTAATTTCGTCTGTTGTCGTTAAATGTTGGATATTTCGTAATTCCAACATTCTGATAATTTTATTAACTGACAAAAATACACTTTCTAAATTAAGTTTATTTTATTTTATTAGAGAATTTTTAATTGTTCATACTTTTAAATGCTTAATAAATTATTGTCTCGCATAATAACCATTTTTACCTAATTCCTGCGATACACGACTCATTTGTCAAAGAAAACAAACTAAAAAATACGAAAAATATCAGGAGCTGTCATCAATATCAAGTGGTTCATAAAATATCACGTGCTGGTGGGAGTGTGTGAACAGATAATGCGACACAAATGATGCGGACGCATAAATCAGCCCGTGAAGTGTTTCCTATTAAACGGCCGCTTTATTATGAGATTGGGGGAAATAAAACCTTTTTCGTTGTTAATTTTGTATAAGCATTAACAACGCTTGCTCTACGCTACTGCGAAGTGTACCGGCGTCGTTAAAAACAAATGACGCTCAAGAAAAGATGTATCCATCAGTTTTATTTTATCAAACCCAAAAATAAGTTAGTAAGTAATATTCAAGTCCTAAATAGTAGGTAAATTTTATATTGCGTTTTAGTATATGTTTTAAGTATTCTATCGGCAATGAGAAGTTTTTTTTTATCACCTGTATGATTGCAGGTCAGGTTCTAAGTAAGGATAAAATAATTAAGAAGTAAAATAAATCTCAGGAATTACCTATTTCCGGTCAAAACGTAGAAGCAGACAGTAGTGGCACGTTATTAAGGTGCCGTTTGTAAATAAAGCCTATTTAAATGTTAAGTACTTTTTTTTCAGAATCCTAAAAATAGAATTCCTGTATTTTTAAAGCACTGCTTTTCAGTTAATTGAAAACAAACAGAATGATAGGAAATGCTTAATTATAAACAAATTACTAAACACGACTAACATTCAAAGTAGATAACTTTTAAAAGGTTTTTTTTCTTTCGATTTGACACCTCAGAAGCCACATGTATCCACTTAAGGCATTTCACATAATTTGTTTGTCGTGTTTTCGAATTTGTACTTTCCGCCCTTCTTACTAAACGTATTTTTTTTAACCCAAAGCGAAAGCAAACTGAGCTTTATGTGATAATAACACTTAACGACCCAAATCCGAGCAACAAATTTAAAAATAGTGTTTGGATATTATATTTATCACACTAATATTATTAAGGCGAAAGTGTGTGAGTGTGTATCTTTGTTACTTCTTCACGTCTAAATGGCTGGAACGATTTTAATAAAATTTGGTATGAAGTTAGCTGACACCCTGGATTAACACATAGGCTACGTTTTACTGCGGGAAAATATCCCTAATAAACGGGTAACACCGCGGGGCACAGCTAGTTTATACTATAACTAGGAAATCTTTAATGTTTGTAACCAATTTGTTACAAAAATCAAAAAGTTCTAGACCGAGCTCAAAACTTTTTTCCTCATTAGGAAACTGCAATATTCGTGACAGGGGCTATATTTTATTGCATTAATATTTCACTCGAGCAAAACAAGGATGAATGCTAGTCTTTTATAAGTTGAAGGTATTGGACCAAGTACAAAGAATAGTATCTAATAAGCATCATATTTGCATAAAGAACATCTGACCTTCGCCTGTTTTGATTGTGTGGTCTTCACGGTTTCAAACCTTGTTTACACAAATTTTGTACGTCATATTTTCTAAAACTCGTGTTGAACGCATGTCTAAATACGTAGTTAGTTACTCAGAAGTTATACTTTTCTAATTTTTACCGGCATCATAGCTGTAAGTTTTTAAAATTAACTCATTATACCAACAGCGTCGTCGCATTGAAGGCAATATTGAATTTGTCATCGAAGATTTTATTTTCAACAGACGTCAAAACGAAATCAAACAATTTCGAGCGAGAAGGATATCAGCAACTATCCGAGTATCGGATTACAACAATAGCTTTATTCGGCAAAATTATCTTTTGACTTTTCAGGGGAAACTGGACCTTGTGTTGTAGGGACAAGGTGCTTGGTGTGGCAAGTTGGTCTGTGCGTAGCGAAGCGTACTGGCAGACGATCACGATGAATGCTTTAGCAGAAATATTTTACATGGCCTCAGGCATAGCTGCCGAATATTGCTGTGCCAACAATCGGGTATTCGAATAGAGCAGTCTTTTCTTACATACAGATTTGTTCTATAACAGCATGGAATGAAAGGAAAGAGGCTTAATAGATATACTGTTGGATTTTTAACTCAAATATTTTAACTGGAAAAAGAATCTTTAGCTAAAATTCTAACACTGCAATATTTCAGTAACAACCTGCCAAAATTTTTAAATGATTTGATTTTTTTTAATAAATAAACAAAGGACAGTTTTCTAATAGAACGGAACTGGATGAATCTGGATCGCTGCTTAGTAACTCGAACTTCACATATACTTTTAATACCTAAGTGGCTTGCTGGCCTTTATCTAATTCCACAACCCTTCGAGTCTCCGAATCTTACTTACCATCATAACACAACAACACCTATAGGAAATGATAAGTCACAGTGGTTTTCTGATGAGTGGAGGTTATTCCAGCAGGATACCCGCTATGTAGCAGAATAGGTCTCGCAATATGCAAAATAGAGGTATAAATATAGTTGATTGTATAACTTTGAGTTTTGTAGAAATCTTCAACATCTGCATGTGCTAAAATTGCATCGTAACGCAGTTCGTACAATTTTAAAATTGTTATTAAAAATATTAACACATAATAAATCGTAGGTATTATCATCCCCACACACATCCACGTAAGGACCGTTTCAGATAGGAGCGAGCGTGCGCGTATTTGCGACGCCCGCGGCGACGCACATCTGTCCCCGCATTATTTATGTTAAACACCTTATGTCACAATATCGCGAGTTAGAGCCCACTCCTATGGAGTACGGAGTCTTTATTTTTGGAACAACTGACAATTGACAACCAACGGCCAATAAATCACGATGAGCGGCGGTAAATTACTCCCTGTGTTGTGTGGGCAATTAACGCGTGTGTTTAGGTTGATGTTTTCATCGATTACTGATAATGATGTTTTGAAGTGGTCTGTAATTTTTCGATTGATGCCAAGTGAAATTTTCCCATTAATAATGTGAAGTTTGAAAAAATATTTGTCATTCTCTTCCAATACACAAGAAATTGTAATGGGAATTCTGTCTGAGTATAGGATGGTATTTCTTTAAAAAAAACTATATTTGGGTTTCTTAGAGAGGTAATTTGCTATACTAAAAGTACTAAAATAATTTTTAAAAGTTTTCTTCGCGAGTGTCGTAAACAAAGTATGAAATCTCCTTACTATTAAATTCTAATATCCACAGGGTAACCCACCCCAGTCGTATAAAAGGACCCCATTGAATACCTTAAGCTCAGATCATTAATATCTCGGCAAGGGTCACCTGACAGTCGCGTTATCCACCAGCCATTGCCAACTGGTAAGCCCTGGAGTTACGACCTAAGGGCAGTAACTGATATCTATGGGGTAACCTTATGGTTTTTACAGTTTGGACTTAGATGTAGATATGTGATAGATGGATCAGAATATATGAAAGGGAGTAGAATTGTTTCTTGCATATCACATCATCAAGTTTTAAGCAATTATTATTTTAAACAGAGTCGGTGAAAGTAGTAGGGATTATGACTGAATATTTAGTCTGCCAGTTAGATTAAAGAAAAATAATGTACACTTATTTTTTTTCTTTTGTCAATCAACCAAAAAATTTCAGGAATAAAGGAGTTAAAATTTGCCTGTTAAATAATTAAATAACGAGGCCCCCGTGAAGTAACTTTTTGTGGTAAAACTATGAAGTCACGTGACATTTAAAATCAACATTTCTGTAATGTTTTGAACACGTGAAAAAAATTAAAATACATGTCCAATAGTTTTTGCTAATCTACCTGATAAATGAAGAAAAGAAAAGATAGCCATCATCCCAATTGTATCACACTATAAAGAAACACTTGAATGCTACCCAATATTAGTACAGTTACTCCTTGGACATAATTTCATATTGGTAGCCCTTTATTGCGTAAAGATATATAAACGATGTTCGTTTATACTAAAATTTTATATCTTCAGTCGTGCTCTTAGCTATAGAGTATATAAGTACACATAGACCTGAAACTCTTAGACTTCGGATACACAATGTATGCATGTGATCTAGCTTAACAGTAACTAGAAGTTATTTTAATATAATAATGTTGAACCAATGACCTCTTAAAGGCGGGCAATGTTTTTTCCATAACAAACATTCTCGACTGATTGCTCCTTGATTTTTATACAAAAGAAACGATTATCATACATAAAATATTATTTTACTTATTCTATACTACTACTTTTTTCGATAACTTGTGTTTCAAACAAATTAGAAAATCTCAAAAATGCCTAAAATAAACAATTTTTTATCATCACTAAAGCCGTCTAGTGTGGAGATTCAATAAGCAATTACAAAAAAGAAAAACATAGAGGTCTAGAATAACTACTTATTATTCTATGGGTAAATTTTTTTTAACATATATCTTATTTTCGAGGAGGAAATATTCGAGAGCCAAACCACGACTTTTGCAATTTTTATACGCATTTTCAGCGTTAGCTACTGTTGTTCCTATCGTACGGAATTTTCCGATGCGCGATAGAAATAGTTTTTTTAAATACCTATTTCTCAAAAGTCTCCAAGCACGCGTCCGCTCTTAACACTTGTGAAGACAATTACGTTGATGCCATGCTATGGAAGAGTGGTTCCTTCTGCTACAGGTGTTAAACACTTAATAGAATGAAACCCACCCTGGTTTGGTGTACAACAAATGTGGTATTACGAAATAAACTTTTTTGAATGCGTGAAAAAGTATGACTGTATCTATCTGTTAGTGAGTTATGTAATACTCTTTGGGGGTATTTGATCCATCGCCATTTCCCAGCACCCTTGT